ACAAATTACATAAAATATTTAATAAATATATATATATAAGCCGGGTGTTTGCCAAGACTATTACAGTCAGAAAAGATTAAAAAGGCACATAGCTTGTCTTTCTCGAAAGCAGACTTTGGATGCTTCAGATATTCAGTATTTAGTTTAAGACCATATCTCCATGTGGTGAAACTGAGCACTAGGCAATTGTCACGTTAATCTTTCAGTCTCAGCTGTACTACCCAACACATCCTGTTGGGCCCATGGAAAGATTTCTGCAGTTTGCTGCTTCATTCTTGGTTTTTTTGTGACTTGAGAACACTGTTCTGATCTCCCAGTTGGAATTATCTGTTTCCTTGCTATATGTTTAAGCTTTAAGATACACATATATCTAAAACAGGAATTTTAAAAATGGATACAACCCTCAGTTGTGCCCCAAGTGACTTTTATCAAGCTTAGTGTAAGTGTTGTTTAAAAGTTTGTCTTTGTGTGTGTGCATTTCTTGAAAAATTTACATCTTGAATGAAAGGTTTTTGTGGTGGGTTTTTTGTTTGTTTTTGTTTTTGTTTTGTCACTGAAGGGAGGTGGGAGGTCCTTAGAGAACGTCATAAAGTCATTTGGGCCACTTGGGAATTCATTTCTATCTTTTAAGTAGTGTCTGTAAGTGTTTTGGTTGGGTTCCCATCATGTGTTAGTGGATCAGTTAAATCCATGTCCTACCCCACTTCTAGGGTACATGTTTAGCTTCAACTCTAGCCGCCTTTGGAGAACACGTTTTTTAAATGTTAGAAGTGAAAGGGATCTTAGGGATCTATTTAACACTCTTAGGAAGTTTGCTACTAGTTGTTTTCTACTTAGGTCTGCCTGATGTTGCATAGACTTACTAAACCAAATCTAACTGGCACACTGTTGCATTAAAGGCCATCCAGGTAGCTAGCTGGTTTGTAGCCTGAAGGACCTTTGTTAAAAGTGGGAATTTGCAGTAGGAAAGTTTTCATTTGAACAAATTATGTAGCTGATGAAAACCAAGTTCTATCTTGTAATAGTCTCAATTGTTCAGTTTGCAGATGTCAGTTTATCTTAGACCCTGGAAAAGCATTTTCAAACTGGATAATATAACATCATTTAAGATCAGAAAGTTGCTGTTTCTTCTCTTATGAGAGAGGTATTTACTTAAAGAATGTGTTGTTAAGGTTTTGAATATTGCATATTTTCAAGTTTTTCTTAAACTTACCTCTTCCTGAAAAGTTCCAAATTCAAATACTTCTGAAATTCTTGCTTAATCCCAAGGCTTCCCTGTATATATGGAGATAAATATATTAATTGCTTAAATGGCTTGCATAAGCCCTCTATGAAATGCAGTCATTATTTAATCTTTGTCCTCCATAGAGTGTTTTTAAAGCATGGAGCTTTGTGACAAGGGCTGCACTGCAGGCACTGATGTGGCATCATTTGTAGTTAGTTCTGAGGCATTTTCTAGTGCCTGGTGACCTCATTTTGGGCCAGTTGGAAATTAAGAACCATTTAAAGAGCCATCATCTGCAGCGTTGATGCTGGCCTAGAGGTTGTGCTTGAAATTTCTGTGAATTTAAGAGGGATGGAAGTTCTCTTATACTCTCTTTTCCATATTCCCTCCCCTGTTTAATCTTGGCTTCTATTCTTAGCCCTTTATCTGTCTGTCCATTCACCAGTTCAACAGCTTTGGGTCTTTTCTGCAAACATTGGGCTTAGCAGACTGTACAGGGGTGAACAAGTAAGTAGAGTGAGGGAGAAGTATAAGTCAGTCCCGAGTAGTAAGAGATCCATTAGGGTCCACATAGTACATGGTAATATGTGAGCAAGGTGGAGCACCTGGGATACCTAGATTAGGATGAGTTCCTCCTGAGGGGGGGAAATGGGTCAGGAGGAAATAATTCAAGGTAAGAAAATGACAGTGCCAAGCAGGTTGTAGGTTATGTGGCTTGACTGTGGTTTGATGACTGGAGGGAAAAGAGACCGAAGATATGAGTGTACCATATCCATAA